AAATCAAAGTTTGAATTTCTCAAACGACAAAAACTGGTGGATAGTTGATTTCCTCATTTGATATGTTTACCCTGAAGTGGTTTTGTTAAAAATAATTTAAAAACATTCATTTTTTACCACGGTACAAGAATTCGCAACATATGTTCATCAGCATCGGACTTGATTATGGTCTCAGCGAAATAAACTTTTCATTTTCTATGTTACCATTGATGAGAGTAGTGAACATCTATTAAGTTGATTTCATATAGATAATGAAGACTTTCTATAGTCGAAAACTCGGAATGATTGGAGGCTGATTTGTTCATTTTCTCAATCACTTAATTCAAACAGGAAAAAAAGCGATTCTCGCTGAAGCACTGTAGATATCACCTCGATCGGGAATACAATATTCAAAAACAAAATCCTAAGCTCGGGGTGAACAGACAAAAATCAATTCAGTACTCCAAGCTGTGAGACCCGCTAATCGAACACTGTGGGGAGAAAATCTGAAACTCCAAGGAATTCGAGAGCTTCATTTATCCAAAATGTGACCTTTTTTCAACCATACTTGTCATAGCACCTCACAGTGTATTGTTCCATACATCCTAGTACAATAAATTACCCGGAAAAAGTTAGGCATAAGTCCGTTATCGTTTCTTTTCTGTTTCTTTTACTTTTTTCTTATTAAAAACGCAGAAATACAATTTTCAGGACGAGGAAAGCGGTCAGTCAAAGAGCTTCCATTGAACACGCACAGAATGGGGAAAGTCAGGCGGTAGTGGTGGGATTCGAACACACATCCCCGGGGTGATAATTTGGTGACTATATCACCGGGCCAAAATCGTCCGTGCTTATGATTTCGTCCCTCGGACTAGAGAAATGTTTTTTACAAATGAACATTGCTGTTGTTCAGTTAAAAAAGTCCTATGCAATTTACGGAGAGAGCTCCGTTTATGAGTACCCATATGTATGATGGTTGGTTGATTTAACTAGGACAACAAAACATCAGTCTAACCACTACTGTAATAGTTATTGTAACTTCACAGCTTTCTCATCGTTAGGCAGTTGGAGCTTTGTTCGGTGTGACAAATAGGTGCAATTTGTGATTTTGAAATATTGTTGCTAATCTGGTTAACGGGAAAAATGAACTAATTTTTCAAGTGAAATGATGAATATGTTAGCGCTTACCTTTCTCGTATGGATTCCGAACCTTTCACACACACACACACATACACACACACACACTCATCCAGGTATAACAGTATTTACATTCTGTCTTCTTTTTACGGATCAAAATAGACCTGGGATTAACGGTTTTATTTTAGTTAGGAATAACGTTGGAGGAAAAACGTGTTTCCCCACTTGTAACATGTTATTTGGTTCACATGTGTTATCATTCACGTTTCCCGTGGCGGTTGGGATGGAATGGGGTGGGATGGATGGCTGATATGTCGGCGAGAAAATCTGCATGCCGCATGCGGCTCTGTCTATTACCGGGTGCGATGTACTTAGTTGAAAGCTTCTGATTACAGTGGAATGAGAATGAATGTGAAGAATATCATGGTTGTGAAAAGGAAATAGCGCTGCTGTTACTCTTGTTCTTGTTGTCTTTGTCCTCGGTTTATGCGGCTTCAGTACCTATAGCGGTCGGTGAGATAACGCCCTCAGTATTTGTGTTTGATTGTCTAAAATATGAAAACTGAGTCACAAAATGGGCGGATGGTGGACCGAGCAGAGTGGATGACTGTGAACGGGAACAATGTAACAAGCTCAAAGAAAAAAGTTGTTGATTCCGGGCATTCTAACAGATAGAGGGAGTGGGGTCAGTTTGCAGTTGACGGTTTTTTGTCGAATGTTATGAAAACTGTGTTTCGGACTCTGTGCATTCTTCAATCCGCAGCACAGCGCAAGAAACACGCACCGTTCCCGGTAAGACTGATATTACTCATTCCTTTCGAATAATCGCTTTAGTTTGTTTCTCTATCCCGAACGATTCACATGGAAAGTGCGTCATAGCACTGTGCCTATATTAAAAGTGGTCTGGATAAATGCGGTAGGTTGTTAAGATGTATTAATCCTTCCGGGGCATGATGAACTGGATCAAATCATAACTTTACTGTAAGGGTCGTAAACTAACCGGTACGGAGAACAAACCTATGTTGTTGATGAGGCAAATGAGAACCATGGGAAATTGTGTAAAATTTGTAAACGTTTTCGGAACAGAAGAACAACTTCCCGGTTGGAATGAATATGTAACGGGTGACATAAACACGTTCCATCGAAATATTCATTTTATGATAAAACATTTAATAATATTTTAAATGAAATAAAACACAACAAAAAATCCCCATTTTTATTCTGTTGTTTCAATGTTTCAATTGATTGTGTGATTTTTGATTGCACAATCTTGTGCACATTGGTGAGAGTGTTGCAAGCGAATGTGACACCGGTGATGATCTATTCAAACATGTCCGAGGGTAAAACTGCCGCTCACGTACTCCATTGAATTATCATTAGGCGATTGAATTTTTTCACAAAGCTTCCAAGACGGTCAATAGTTTAGAGAAGGCGTCTTATGAAGATGTACTACTTGTACTGTTAAGTGGTACAAAGTTGTTTAAATAAAACCGATTATATAAAATCATTTATTTCCAGCAGAAAAGAGTATTGCACTTGAGAAGCACTCAAAGTATAAAATTATGGGTTTAGCTCACCGTTCTCTGAACATCCCGAAAGCTTACGGCATATGTTAATGATATAAAACTACCGGGTGACCCAAACGCGTGTCGAGTATGTTGTGAAACAGTTTCACTCATTTCGAGGAAATAATTCCACGATTAAATTGAAGGGTGTTTATTACATTTGCCTACAAAACGTTTCACAAGCATGCTCTTCCGTATGTTACATATTGCACCATTGTCAAGATACAAATACTTCAGATTTCATCTTTTTTATCTCAATTGTTTGGGAGACCGTCGGCGGTTCATGAGATAGAGTTGTGCAAAAACCACGTGATCCAAAGTGGCTGATAGGGGGCAGTAATCAACAATATCTAATTTGAGAGGCAGTGCGAGATATGAGTAAGTCTAAAGTACTGAAAAACGCATTTATTTCCTTAATTCACACGAGGTTTTTAAACGGATTCTAAAATAAGTAGTGAAAACAAGTGAATAATCGGATAACCGACGTTTTGAAAACATCTTTTTTCCAAATGGAATCTTGTTTTCAAAGAGGCTCAATAAATTTCAAAAACCTCCATGAGTTTTAGTTGGTTTTGGTTCGGATGTGAATGACGAAAACAAAAATAAAACCAATAGTTATTTCAGAAAATGAAAACAAATCAGACAACACAAATACAAAGTCTGTTTGTTTTCACCAAACTGGCGCGTCTAAGAGCCGTGATTTCAGTCATCCAAAGGAACTCGTTATTCATTCTTCTACAGGTTTTTCAAGCAAAAAAAACGTTGAGTGATTTCAAACTTCTCGTGGTATTCCGCGCTTTCAAATGGCTTTGCGTTTCAAGCATTATAGGCTCATAAGTTGTCAATAAAATGGACACATGAATTTTCGGTTTACGTCATGCATAAGCATGTCATGTTTAGATCAACGGTCGGAGAGAGAAAAATTAGCTCAAGACGAGATGAGAGGCAAAACAAGCAAACTTTAAGGAGTCTGCTTACGCTGAACGCAAATCTTTCTGGAACTCTCTTGAAACAATAACGCGAGCGAATCATTATTATGACAGAGCAGAGAATTGCATACAGAAGAGCACGGTCAACAAATTACCAGGCCATTCAAATTTTTCTCACATCAGGCAACATAAGGCATCTAAATATAATATGAAATCATTATCATACGCATTCTTTTCTCCTGAAGCAATTTGCATCAAACAAGTGACGCTATGTCCATTCTGGACGTTCCCAATCCGCTCTTTGCGCTCATCAGTCAGATTGTGATATTCACAGAAAAAATATGACGTTCGACAATTCGCATATTCACAGTGGATAGACTGGGAAAAAATCTGATAGTTTTGGTAACAACTTAAGTCATATGTGGTTTAGCGTACGAGGCGAAGGTGGGGCTGTTTTCTAGACATTAAAACAAATAAGTGTGTGTGTGTGTGCAGAGAAACATGATGAAAACTACCCAAATGTAAACGATGGAAAATGGGAGTTGACCATGAAGTTCCAAATATAAGAACGGTTTTTTCAAGCTGAAGTCCAAAAATTATTTGTGAAAGCCACAGGAGAGTCACGCGACAGAAAAGTGATCAATGCCACAATTCGAATGAGTTGACTAATATAAGAGCACCTAATTACGGGGGCAGTTGGAAAACGTAGTTGATAGGATTACTGCCAGGGGGCGCGTAGTAAAGGCTATTTGCCAGATATGCCTGGCAATATATTTAACAACAGCAATGCAAAGTATTGGTTCTGTTTATTCAGACTATTTGGTTTTGAAAACCATTCAAGGGCAATTTGTTCGATAAATTGGTCCTAGTCATTTTGGAGTCACTGAAGCTATTCATACTTGTTTAAATAGTATTTCTATTAACCCATGTCAAATTTGGTTTACTGTAAAATATTCAAGCTGATGGTTTCATACTGGCACCCCTTTGACAAAAAAGCTCGAAAATATTTGTTGGTAATATTGTGTCACGTGTGATTTAAACTCATCACAAAACACTACTAAATTATTTATTATACGGCGACAAATATTGCTTAAACCAAAAAAAATACCGATCGGTGATCACATCATATTAATCCAAATAGCATCGGTGAAGTTTGATGAAAATCTAAAAATCCCGATAGATTCAAATCAGACAATTTACTATGGAGCGATTCACAAGTTTTTGCTTTTATCGGATCTATTACTGTTTATTCCCAATCCGTGAACAATCACTTGCTTGCAGAATCGAATAATCCACATTACTGGATGACACGCGATCATTTCGCATAAGGTCAGAATAACGGAATAGAATAATGTGATTTCCACAGAAAATGATACGATCTCAAAACCTATCACGGGGAAGGTAAGTGGATAGCACTTACCAATGATTCGGATTTTAAACATTCTTGTATCAGTTGCATACTTTCAAAAGGACACGTCTCGTTTGGTTTCCCCGAGTGATCCAAGTAGGTGGTGACCTGTTCTGTCTCCGACTCAGCTGCTTCACTTGTCGGGAACATACTCATATCACGATCGAATGTGTCCCACGGTCCGATAGCATCCACAGCCAGTGTGGACTCGGTTCCGTCCGGATTAGGACCATCCGTATCGATTAGTGTACTCGACGTGGTCGTGGTGATGGTGGTGGTATTAGGCGAGGCTGATGAACAGAATACCAGTTCATCTAGTGCCCACTCATTCGTGGTACAACAAACAGACAGTTTAGACGAATCTACACTCGGCTCAGTCGGATAACAAGCCACATTGAATAGGACTGGTTCTAAACCATTGACCATTGAATCCGGTGTTTGGATTGTGGTTAGAATGTCATTCACTGAAGGCAGTCTTGTTGTCCATGCAGCTTCCCGACCCATGGCATGCGATTCGAACGGTGGAGAGTGATTCACCGGGACCGTGGAATAGTTTGAACACGGTTCTAATGATTGGAGTGGTTGTTGATGCTGTGGATGTGGTTGTATTGACAGGGATTGGTGTTGTTGCTGCTGCTGCTGAAAGGGTTGAGAGTCGTAAGAATGCGGATGATCGGGTAAAAAGATTACATGTTGATCCGGACGAGTTAGCGCGCTCACATTCATCAAACCATGCATAACCACACTGAACACAATCCCGCGTTCAAGCACGCACACAGCTACTCGATTCTCGATAAATTTACGACAAATTTGTATGATCCTTCTTGTGAGCAGGAAATAGCTGAAGAATTGTAGAGATTGTGATAATCATTAGATCACACGACGTTTGCAAATTCAGTAAAATTTGAAGCACCAATATCTTATTACTGAAAAGACAAAGAGTATTTTTTAAGTCTGTTTGCGCGCGAATGAGGGGTGAACAGTTCGCAGTCTCAAGACCGTTACAGTTATCAGATTAGGATGTCGTCACCTGGAGAACTTCTGTCTATATCTCTTCTATTCCCTCTCTCTCTCTCTCTTACTATCCCTGTCTTGGTACCAATGAAATTCGTTTTGAATTTGCTGCTGCCATAGCTGGTGGGTGTTGGTGGGCGATTTCTATGGTATTGGAGGTTGGTGGTTGAGAAGAGTATCCTTGATCATATGGTATGTAGGACCAGCCCTGACTTTTCACCCGGGTTGTTGTCAGAACACAAATTCTGTTCCACCAACTACCACCACCACCTGAAGACTCTTGGTCCGTCTTCCATAAGCCACCACCTCGTTGACCACAAGAGGCCTTCTGCACACTAACAAATCCCCACAAGGTCTGCCTGCAGACGTGTGGTATGAGTGAGTACACTAACTAACAAACTAATTTCTGTGCTATGACAACCGCATAGAAATGGACAACCGCACACACACACGCACACACAACTGGACCTGCCTCTTCGCACACACACGCAAATACTAAACCATACAGAAACTGTACTGATAGAAGAAGGAGATGCTTGCATGCAGACCTTTGCGAAACCTTGATGCATGTTTGAGTTCAATGTATAAAGGTCATGCGAGCACGTTTCAGCTGAGGAAGAAGTCGAGTGATAGGCAGACAGGTCAAATAGGTGTGTACAAGTGAAGAACACTTTCTCCAAGCCGCCCCTGCTGTTGCTCACTTCTTGTATACAAGCGTACATGAACACACGCGATTTCAGCCAAATTGGACTCTGAACACTGCTCGTCTCTGAGGCAACAGGCCGAGAAATAAGCCTTATTGGAATGGGGTGGGTCTGAGCTGTGAGGATGGCAGTAATGATGGTGTTGATGATGAAGTTGATGGTGGTGGTGGTGGTGGTGATGGTGGATGAGGTGGAGGTCGTAGTGAGAGGCTTGCATTTGAAGAAGGGTTGAAGAATAATTGGGGTACAGTGAGACAGTCACGAAAATGTCAACATCAACACCAACTCTAAAGACGGTTAAAAAAATAACGGCAAACACAACGAGGAGCACAAGCGTCTCGTTTAACACATGATAAATGCCAAGAAAAATGTTTTTATCAGCCAGTTTAAAACGTCATGCAAATAAACTATTCTCTTTGAGCAAAAGTGCTAAATGCTAAATATAAAAAACCAACAACCGAGAAAGGAATTCATAAATAAATAATGAACTTAAACTGTTCCAAAAATATTCTATTATTTTTGTACACAATCAGCCGTAAGCTCTTCAAATGCCGGCCGGTTAGACGGTCACGTGAATAACTGATACATTCGGGAAATGCATATGGCAACCTTTAAGTGGAGGATCACGTGCAATTGAAGTACCGTGAATGGGAGGGGAAAGTGATAGTATCAGACATTATTGTGAGATATTATTTATCGGAGTAAATTAATCTCATGTAATAAATTATGAAATGTGGATAATGTTGTTTAATGGGCGAGAGATGATGGGCTCAAAAGTAGATGAGATTCTGAGGAAAGAGAAGAACTATACCATTTTTTTTCTATTGTTTGATACGGAAAAAAGCGGTCACTACAGACTGTCGTTTGATTAGAGATAGGTTATCGCTTTATTTTATTTATAACTGAGTTCTATTCAGGATCTGTTTCTTACTATATCACATTCGAGGTATGATTTACTACATTTTTCCGTACTTGATCTATAATCTATATGAGATATATTTCGCGCTAGAAAATTCAAAACAAGTAATTTGGCTAAGTGGTTGAGGACTGTTTGTTCAATATACATGCACGTTTGATACTGATTGAAGTTTTTGAACTAATTAAGTGTTGATAAGGTATTAGACTCATCAAAATGGCTTTGATGCAGAGTTTCATGCAACTGGCTGCTCTCCCACACTATCAGAAATTGCCATTTTACCTCGCTTATGCAACTATTCACACGGCTGTTTTTTTTTCAACACACCACTTACTTCGTATCAATAAAAATTATTTACATATCACTTGCTTGAAAATGGGGAAAATTTGTATCAATTTCCGCTACCGCTATGCAATTCCTTTGAAAACATTTGGATCCGGAAAGCATTTGATCGAAGAATAAAATTTGGTGACAATAAATATGGTCTGGATTAATTAAAGACACTGGACTTCATTTTTTCATCTTCATGTTTTCCTTCCTTTTATTGAATATGCAGAGATAGAATTTTCAGGAATGGGAAGCGGCCATGTTGCGGCATGTTTCTCGTGTGTTTCTCATAAAAAGCGCCATTCGTTTAAAGTGCATTAGACACCAGTCTAGTTTTGTATAGACTCGTACACCAGCGTGAGCGTGAGCGACGCCACACAGGCCTATAAACTGTGAATTGGCACGCAGTTGTCCAGATCAGTAACTCACGCATTTTGCCAACAACCGTGTAGTGCAAGATAAATATCTCAGTCTCAAACTGAAGATACACCTTTTCTCATCAAGCTTTAGCCAAAATCAATAACCCTTTAGCTTTGACCTACATTCGGTTAGCCAAAAAACCCGTAGTCCTTTAGCCTAGACACACAAACTTTAGTCACGCCGCAGTAGACAAGTCAGAACAAAAAATATCGGAATATTACGAAGTCAATGAATTTTGAAAAAAATATTCTCTATAAATGTTGCTGTTGCAAATCTCGATTATGAAATAAGAAAGTATGGAGGATGCATGTGCAACACATGTTGATTGGAGAAGATTTAACTGATGTGTCTGTATCGTCAAACCATTTGACACATCTCGTACGGCTTCGGTGTTTCTGTATAACATACGATCCTCCTAGGAGTAAAAGTCTCAAGTGTAACTCAAACGATACATTGTTTTGCATTCACGAGGTCCGAAATCAAGTAAAAGATATATGCTTACCGCTTGGTATATCCACTTAAAGTGAACCCTGTTCTTGAGATATAAATATACACTAACAGGTCGAGGATAATAAACACTGTTCATAAAAGACTCCCTTTAGAACACCGTTCCCCAAGAAGTTATAGACAAAACCCACCATAATTAAGCTTACACCGTGGTAATTATGACATATGTTGCAGCGTTAATAAACTGATGATGGTTATGCGGGTGTATTTTTACGAGCGGTGTACTATCCTCAGCACGTTTATATACCGCCTTCTGATGAGCAGAGTTCACTTGTACGAGATGTACGAGATGTGTCAAATGGTTTGACGATACAGACACATCAGTTAAATCTTCTCCAATCAACATGTGTTGCACATGCATCCTCCATACTTTCTTATTTCATAATCGAGATTTGCAACAGCAACATTTATAGAGAATATTTTTTTCAAAATTCATTGACTTCGTAATATTCCGATATTTTTTGTTCTGACTTGTCTACTGCGGCGTGACTAAAGTTTGTGTGTCTAGGCTAAAGGACTACGGGTTTTTTGGCTAACCGAATGTAGGTCAAAGCTAAAGGGTCATTGGTTTTGGTTAAAGCTTGATGGGAAAAAGAGGAGAATAATAGAACGCGTTCAGGATGTTTCAAAGGAAAGGTAAACATTCTCTGGAAGGCGGTCATTCCGTAACTCGGTGAAGTGTTCCCTTGCATTAAGGTCGATTAGGTCAGTCACCTGCCAATTCGGTGTCACTGTCACATGAAATACGTATGAAATATGTCTAGAGAGGGAACTGGTTTGGCTGCACCTGTAACTAAACGGATTAGGTTTCAATAATGTAGTGCGATTTGTCGCTATTATATCATATAGCCAGTCCCATCTAAGTTTGGATGTGTTTTTACTACGTTCCAATATCAAAATCCAACAGATAATTTGTTTTCTCGCTTTTACTTGTTGTCAAGTTTGATGGAGTTTTATCAGTGAACGCAATATTATTCGTTTTATTGAAACTACGATTTACATAATCCTTGGAAGGAATGGATAGAGGCTTTTTGAGTTCGAACCCGGATGTGCTTCGACATCTCAAGTCAAGTCCAGTAGTCACGCATCACTTTACTCACCCAAATGATGAATTTTCAGCTCCAGGTGTCTAAGGCAGAACGCTGTTTTTGATAAGCGAACTGACTGTGATCTAATTGCCTAGTGTTCTGATTAGAGCGTAGATTTTTCAAAATCCTTTAGTTAAACGGAAGTGCAGGTGTGCTGCGCACAAGTCTTCAACAGTCGATAATGTTTCCTTCCTCGAAGCAACGGTCGAAAATACCGGCAAGTGACTCCAAAAGATAATACGCACATTCCGTAGGACGACCGGACATAGTCCGTCTGGGCCGGAAACTCTTGATGTTTTGAGACACATCATTTGTGCCTGCACCTGATTAGAATTGACATGCAAAACTACACGACGGTCAACTGATTGGAAATATTAGTCCGATACTTCTATTTGATTTGACCTCGAGAAAATGCAGTTGAATTTACGTGTTGTTGGTTGAAGCCCGGATAGTATGAATTTTGTTTCACAGAGTTTTTTCATAGCACTGCAGATTTGCTTGCAATTCCGATCAACAAGTAGGGTTTCAGTGTAGAGTCTGTCAAGATTTTGGATCTCAGTCTTGATCAGCACTGACGTTTGCTTAGCTAAAGCTCGGTCAGGATTTATTGATGCTCGTTCTTTATTTCCTTTTGAGGGTATCAATATGGGGAAAGAAAATCTGGCGCGGCTGATGTACATAGGGTCCTTGGGGCAGCAGAGATCAGAGCAGAACAATTAATGGCCTACGTTTTAATCAATTCTCGATTGT